CCTCCATTTAAACAACTTTAAGCCTAGCACTAGGCTTAATCCATGTCTGGGAAACTGCAGCATTATCCATGGAGGTATGAGTATAGACAACAACCTCTTTAACTTACCCTAAAATCGGAGTTGACTAACTCCAAGAAGGGAAACCCTGCATTTACTGTCCAGGAAATAGAGATCACTCACCCAGTGCAAGTGCAACTGTCATTTAAACTCAGTCTACAGTCAGACCAAGCCACCTGGCCAAATTTATTTACACAGCTGTGTGGCCAAAGGCAGGGGGCCAGCTTGGGTACAGCTCTAAACATTAACCTCTTTAACTGCAGCTGAACGCCATCCCTTATTATCTGCTACTTATAATGCAGTTAGAAAATAAGATCTACGGGTTTTCCTAATATCATTCACCACTGAAAAATATTTTGGTCTGTTAGATATTTCAACAGCATACACAATTTACATCCAATACTGTAACAAGCTTACTTAGCAGCATTTTCTTAATCAGATAAACTCAAATGAAACAAGTTGGTTCATTGGTAACAATTTCAAGTTTCAAATCATGTCACTGTGTGTTTATTGTAAAGGAGATTAAAATGCATGATAGTTTGAACCCACCTGAGGGACTCATTAAGTTTGATCTATGAATTCCTCATACAGTTTTGCTTTATAGTGGCAGAAATGTTGACCATGAAAGCTTTTTGTAGTGAACTATGCTGCTTTCACCTACAACATCCAGAGCACACAGTACATGTTGCTATAAGCTACGCCACATAGCTGCTATAATTTAAACGCACCAACGATTTGTGTATAATCGTTATCACCAGACTATGTCTCAAGAGCATATGATCTGTTGACAAAACTCACTGTTATGAAGATAGATTGGTTCCAGTGTCTTCATGAAACGCTGGCTTTATCCATCTTCTGGGGCGTGCCTGCAGTGGAGTTCTGAAGAGTTCCTTGTGAGGGAGCTAATGGTGAAGATCACAATGTCCTCCTTCATTCCTGCCATGAGCTTCAGTCTTTCTGATGTTTCTCAAAGATGCCTCTTTCAGTGGGTCAACAGAACATCTGGCACAGGACAGCTGTGATGAAAGAAAAGGAAGAAGTTTCTCCAAACCTCTGGGCTAACGAAACCCAGCTGGGTCCTGACGGTCTCCCACACTACTTTCACCCTGGGTGGATGTAGCTGTTCATAATAATCTGCACTCTCTTCATTATTATGAAATGAAAAGAACAAGTTACACTACAGTACTGATACCTTCTGCTTCTCTTTTCAAACTTTCCATGTTACCAGGCTGTAGAGTGTTCTGAACATTTTAACACTTTTAAATCCATTACACACACAGTCTTATGTGAAAATCTCCAAGGACAGCATTACATTTTTGCCATTAACAGTAACTCTGGACCTCTGTGGAGTGTGCAGATGATCTCATTACTGTCTAAAAATCCAAGGAGTGCTGAATCATTGAAAAATACACAGTAACAGGTGTGTAGCATCGCTAACTAGGTAGCAACAAGCCTCTAACACAGTGTGTGTATGCTAGCGGCTAATCTAGCAAACAAATGAACAGAGTGCTTTTTGGTGTTGCACAAGGATAAGATGATAAACTGTGTGTCTTTTTTATAATCACCTGCTTCAATTTACCTTAATCCAAGGAGTACTCAGTGTGGGTAAATCTGCCATGAGCAGATAAAGTGGATGAGTGGGATTAGGTAGGTGTGCCGAAAAGAGGCAACAAAGCTGAAGAGTAGTGATGGGTCGTTCGCGAACGAAATGGGTCTTAGAGCCGGGTCTTTGACGTGAACGACGCGAGCCGGCTCCAGTGCGCGCTGGCCTTGCCAACTCCCCGCTATTGGCCACGAAGGATTACCGCTCCCTTGCGGAAGAGGCGGATCGCATCCTCCTGGCTACCAGGACTTTCGGCGTCCAGGCGATTGTTCAGGACTCACCAGCGTTTTCCCCCGCCCCCTCACCGATGCTCCAGGGGCCCTCCGACTCGTCCACGGTGGCCGGAATCGCTGCACGGCGGCACCGCGGAAAGGGGCTTTGTTTTTATCACCAGCGTTTTGGAGCGAAGGCACGGCGCTGTCTCCCGCCTTGCAGTTTCCAGACCCAGGGAAACGGGCATGTCAGCGCTCTGTAGCAGCCGCGACCGCTGGCAACAAGGAAAGGCTGCTTTTCTTAGAGGACTCACGCTCGGGGAGGCATTTCCTGGTGGACTCCGGCTCACAGAAGAGCCTTCTTCCCCCGGCTGGCTCGGACAGGCTAGCTGAGGGCTGCGGGCCATTGCTAACAGCGGCTAATGGCTCTCCCATCAAAACCTTCGGTGAAAGTGTAACCAATACGTCTACTCACCAAAGAATGAGTGAAGCAATATGGATAACAGCAGAGGACAATTTATTTAGGGTCTGATGGCAATTTACCATCGGTGTCCAGCACTTTAAAGGATTGGATGGACTGGAGCACATCTGTCCTTAACATACCCTCTTAAACATCAGCTTGACACTGATACATCAAAGGAAACTTAACAGACTTTAAGTGCAAATGTTTCAACCTGAACAACTTAAAACTTCTTTGGGATACAATGTAAATAAAGACAAGAAGAAAAATATTTCCATCAATAGTCACTTCTCCTAACCAGGAGACAAGTGAATATATTATGTAAAGAGTCCTTCTCAGTCCTGGGGTTGTAACACCACAACCTCCTCAGTCCGTAATCAGAGAGTGTCTATTTGACAATAACCAAAATGTCTTTGGATAGTCTTTATGAATGCAAACAAAACAAAACAAAAAAAACAATGGTATTAGCTGGCCAGCAAAATAAAGAGACTGTATGGCACTGAGTGCGGGCGTGTGTGTGAGTACTTCGGTCCAAATAATCAAGGTCCGGATGGATGAAGGGATGGCGGCCGCTTGTCCTTTAATGGCACCAGTAAGGCAGCACAGTAGTAAGGCAGCACAGCAGCGAGGCGTCTGGCAGGAGAACGAACAATAATCCTTTTCAAGGCTACTGCATAAGGAGATATTCCCCGCTAGCTCACCCAAGCTTGCTCTCTGGCACAGCTACAAGCCACGTGAGCTCATAGCCCCATAGTGACATACGAACTTGGCTACCAACGTCCGCTTAGCATGGCGGCTAATCGTCGAGCTTGCTAGCTTAGCCTCGATTAGCACATTAATAACCATCACTACACATCACATCATAGCAAACACATGATAACACATGGAATAGTATAATATACATACGAAACAGATTTTTACCTGGCAGGAGAACGAACAATAATCCTTTTCAAGGCTACTGCATAAGGAGATATTCCCCGCTAGCTCACCCAAGCTTGCTCTCTGGCACAGCTACAAGCCACGTGAGCTCATAGCCCCTCCCGCTAGGATGTACCACTACAGTCGACTGTCGTAAAGCAGCCGCAAACCCATAGCAATATAAAAAAAACCTCAAAATCATTGAAGAACATTTTATAACACCCAATATAGATATATACATATATACTGAATATCACACAAAGTCAGATAACCAAATTAACACTGGGTTACAAAAGGTTGGTGACTGTTTGCTTTCACGACCGTGACTTTCAGTGGAACTTTGTTGTTGCTGCTAGCTCTGTGCCTATAATAGGCGCTGATTTTCTTTGTGCTCACGGGCTGCTGGTTGATGTTGCTAACAGACGTTTAATTGATGCTGTGTCATTTTCGAAGATCGATTTGGTACGGGGATATCACCAGGTTCCCGAGGATGTCCCCAAAACCGCCGTAATTACACCTTTCGGCCTTTTCCAGTTTCTGCGCATGCCGTTTGGCCTGAAAGGTGCCGCCCAAACCTTCCAGCGGTTGATGGACTCGGTCTTGCGCGGGCTGCCCTTTGTTTTTGTATATCTTGATGATATACTGGTGGCCAGCAGCTCGAAGGAGCAGCACATGTTCCATCTGCGTCAGGTTTTTCAGCGTTTGGCGGAGCATGGACTGATTATTAATCCGTCTAAATGCCAGTTTGGGTTGCCCGTTCTTGATTTCCTTGGGCATCGTCGTCACATTTTTCGTGGGCCGGTCTCTAGTCAAAATGCCCGGGCCGATTTTTTTGTCCCAGTCCAGCCCTGGTCACGCTGTGACATTTTGTCGCTTTATTGATCAAAATCAGTCCTTTTCTGGCTTAAATACCGAAAAAGCTTCTGAGGTCTGAGTTGACACAGTGTTCCTACAGTATTATAGCGTTACATTTGCTAAGCTGGGGAGTAAGCGTGTACTTACTCGGCCATCTTGGAACGCCCCCTCGCTCTGTGATCCTTTGATCTTCACAAAGGACCATTCTGACGTCACGGTCGACGTCACGTTCTCGGTCGACGTCACGTTCTCTGCTAGTCCTTAAATAGGGAGCTCCTTTAACAGTTTACTCAGTTTACATTGGAGCATTTTCAGAAACAGCCGGTTGTTTTAGGCAAAGCTAATACGTATTTAACCTGTGACACCGTGCTTTAAACCTTTAAAAAAATGTCACAGGAATCATTTAATAACTTACCTTCTGGAAGCGATAGTGGAGATGAGTCACTAAGAGTGCAGCTTGATGTTAGTGTGATGACACTGTCTCAAATTCACAGAGACGTAGTGCTTCAATTTGAGCACCACCATAGAAGAGATGCAGAACTGACGGAAGAGCTTGAAAATATTAAGAAAGAAAACGCAGTTCTCAGGGAAGAGCTCAAAAATAGTAAGAAAGAAAACGCAGATCTCAAGCAAGAGAAGGAAAATAGTAGCAAAGACAACTCAGAACGCAGGGAAGAGCTCGAATATTTTAAGAAAGAAAACGCAGTTCTCTTGGAAGAGCTCAAAAATAGTAGGAAAGAAAACGCAGATCTCAAGCAAGAGAAGGAAAATAGTAGCAAAGACAACTCAGAACTCAGGGAAGAGCTCGAATATTTTAAGAAAGAAAACGCAGTTCTCTTGGAAGAGCTCAAAAATAGTAGGAAAGAAAACGCAGATCTCAAGCAAGAGAAGGAAAATAGTAGCAAAGACAACTCAGAACGCAGGGAAGAGCTCGAATATTTTAAGAAAGAAAACGCAGTTCTCTTGGAAGAGCTCAAAAATAGTAGGAAAGAAAACGCAGATCTCAAGCAAGAGAAGGAAAATAGTAGCAAAGACAACACAAAGCTCAGGGAAGAGGTCGAAAATATTAAGAAAGAAAACGCAGATCTCAGGGAAGAGCTCAAAAATATTAGGAAAGCGAATGCAGAACTCATGAAAACCTTGGAAAATCATCAGCACCTATTTAAAGTAGGTTCAGGTCTTGCCGCAGTGGCCATTGTTGTTCCTGCAGCTTGCTGGGGCATCTCACAGCTTTTCGGCTGAAGTGAATGTCCCGTTCTGTGGGGGAAGAGCGGGGATCGCTATAATTGTGGATTCTGGTCCACATCCACAATTACAGCCCTACTGTAATTGTGGATGTGGACCAGTTACCCTTTAAAAACAGTAATGATGTTTTCCAGCCACAGTCCACCTTCATCCTGGCGCTGTTCTTCGGCAAAGGTTTCTCCATCTTCCTTGATTTTGTCCATCCACCGTTTCTTCGGTCTGCCTCAAGGCCGGTGCCCTTCTAAAATATGCTGTGCTCTCCTTTATGTTTGATTTTATTTTGCCCCTCACACCCCCAACCAGTCATGGCAGAAGACTGCCCCTCCCTGAGCCTGGTTCTGCCAGAGGTTTCTTCCTGTTAAAAGGGAGTTTTTTCTCTCCACCGTTGCCAGAGCGCTTGCTCATAGGGGATCATTTGATTGTTGGGGTTGAATTTTTGGGTTTCATTTAATTGGCTTGAACTGAAAAACCTAAAAATTCAGGTGAGGGTTTTACATAGTGGAGAGCACTGCAGTTGTTAACTGCACTTTTTTATTTGTAGTTTTTGCAGTGCTTCCTACTACAAAAACTACAAATAAAATCCTTGCAGTTAGCAGCAAATCAAAATAAATAAACACATTTTTAAAGGATCCACTACTGCTCTGTGTGTTTACTTCAATGAACAATTGTATGTTTTTGTGGTAGAAGATTATAGATTGTCCAAATATGTGAGAGTTTTAAAAGTAGCACTGCATGAGATTTACTGTGGCACAGATCGTTGAGCAGATCGTGTGTTGATCTGAGTCCTGTGATTTCCAGTAGTGATTTATTCCCATAACAAAATCAAATTGTCCTCTGCTGCTGTGTTGTTGCACAATGAAAATGATGGAGGTTTCAGAAACAGTCCGAACCTGGTTACTGTCTCAGATATGACGCTAGTCTTATCCTGCCTGCTTCTGTGTGTATATATGTAATATGCATATCCACATAATTATGGATTATTATAATTATGATATTTAATAAACACACACTGTGTTTTAAAGAACATACATTAAGAAACTGATTGTATTAAATTTTTATTTCAAATAAATTTCATTATATTTTTTGTCATCATTTTATTATAGATTAAGTGCAAGAGTTGTTAAGTGTGGATAAATAAATAATAGTTTATTGCAATAACAAATTGCGCCTTGGAGTCCTGAGGCGCTGTGCAGGGCAACTAGGAAGTGTGTTCTGGACTCACTGTTAGTATCCACTGATTTAGTCACTGATCAACCTTCAGTCACGTAGGAGGACAGAGCTTCATGTTTATGGGATTAATGTGCAGTTTCATTGAATCCGTATTTATCTGTAAACAGGGTTCACACGGGTGCTTGAAATATGTGGTCTTCGGTGCAGTTTTCCTGTTTTGTGGGGAAGAAAGGCTTTTTAAGCCAACCTAAGATGATTCGTTTTCATTTTCACATGGTCTTGGTGAGGTGATGCAAAGTGAAACATGCTTTCTGTGGTTTTTTTTGGCCATGTGCTGGGAAAGCTTGAACATGGACCTTGAAAGTGCTTAAAAAGTGCTTGAATTGGAGCCAGAAAAAAGCGTATGAACCCTTGATTTGGAGGTGTTGGAGTCTGAAACCATGTGATGACTGTAAGCTCTGTGATTTATTACCTGATGGACCAGCAACACCTTCACTGTGTTTAAATGAGAATGAATCCAGCTTTACTTTAATATAGACGGCAGTGTGCAAAAGTCTTGTGCCCTCGTTTCTTTACATTTTGCAGGAGAATTGGAAACGGGTGCAGCAATTCACTGAAACGTGCAAATATTCATTAAAAATACAGAATATGTGGCAAAAATCAAGTCTTTACAGTTGTAACGAGCTTGAACGTGAATGGTTGGTCTGACCTTCATCCTTCAGTTCACTCTGAACTCTCTGAGCAGCTCTCTGTCGTCTTTGTGAGGACCTGCAGGAACACTTCTCCAGACTTCTTGAAGGACATTCAAAGCTCTTCTGCCTTTTGTTGATGATGTTGATGATTCCACACTGTTTATGTCCTGCTGAGCTTTGTGCTCTGGGAATGCCAGACCATGACTGATATTTTGTAGATCGGACTGCGTAGTTGTGAACTGAGTTTTGTAACTTTGTAAACCGAAAGATCAGAAAATTTCTAGTCATTCACATTTATTTAATGGGCTAAATTAAGTTTTGTCTTCAGGTCCTGGGATGATGGAAGGCGGGAGGGATTTGCTCAGATTAAACGGTTCTTCTTTCTAAACAAAAAGCGTGCAGATTCTGGTTTCATTGTGTAGAATAAAATTTAAAAAATGTTTTGACCTGGTTTAAAAACGTAAAACAAATGGAGAAATGTGCTTATGGACGTAGATCCATCGGTTATTCACTTTATTCAGTAATATGTGGCCTCATTAGTAAAGATCTGACCTGCCTAATGTACTGCAAAGCACATGTACATATATTTCAGGATCACTGTAACCTCAGTGGCTTGAAATAAACTTTATTTTGGAGTTACATATTTTGATTTTGGGCAGTTTTCTTTAGGAAACAACTGTTTCTAGTCATTCACATTTATTTAATATGCTAAATTAAGTTTTGGGCATGTGTGGCACCATGATATAGATGAATACATGAAAATTGCAGCCCCCCGCCCCCCCATTTTATTTTTATGCTTCATGTCACTTCCTTTTGGGAAAAACTACTGTTAGTGTCTATTTTGCTGCAATATAAGTTCCGCCAGCAGAGGGCGCTCGGTGTCTTACACATCAGTAGCCGACACCTCGCTAGAAGAGTAGTGCAAAGCTGGCGCACCAGGTAGTTCCTGATACGGTATCAGGAACTACCTGGTGCGCCAGCTCTGCCCACAGGACACCGCTGCGGCCGCTGTATGACGGCCCATTCAGGGTTATTGAACCGGGCCAGAAACATTTTGTTTTGGATTTTGGGGGTCGAAGGGAGACTGTGTGTGTTGACAGACTTAAACCTGCACATGTTCTTCCGGACAGTAATGTAGTGCCGGCCCAGGCCCCTCGCCGTGGCCGCCCTCCTTCGATGGGGTTGACAGACTCTGGTTTTCCCCCCAGGACTACCCCCGGACCACCGGCGTTTGAGCCTCCTCCTGCCTTTCCTGCTCGCCTTCACCAGCCTCGTTCACAGGATGGACCTTCCTCTGCCTGTTCTCTCCCTCCCAGGTTCAGTCGTTCGGGTCGTTTGCTTAGACCCAGGGTCCTGGACTGAATAGAGACCTAACTGTGTGTTCAGCGGGGGGGTATGTGTGGCGGACCACCAGGTGGCTCCACTCACACCCAAGTTGAAGGGAAGTGTTGGGGTGGAGATTTTGGCGCTTACTATATGTGAAGTTCTGAGAGTCAGTTAATAAAGTTGGAGTGAGACACTGAGACCTCTCCTGTCGTTATTACGTACCTCCACAGCATAAATTTTATCCTGCTAATCAATATATGACAAAGTTCAAAAGAGACATAAATGTGAACTGTGGATTTTGTGGAAGCCATCCTGAGACTGTGCAGCACCTCTTCTGGATCTGTTCATATGCTAGAACATTTTGGAAAGACTTCAGCAGATTCATTGCTGGACATCTCTACAAAGACTTTACTGTGAAATGGGAATATGTTGTATTTTGTTTCTTTTGAAGGCAAAAAAAGATGTTTACTTTATAATAAACTTTTTATCTTAGCTAAATTTTATTTTCACAAATACAGTAACCAAAAACCTAATTTTAAATATTACTATAATGATGTTTTATGTTACATAAAATTGATTTGTGGATTACTTAACAAAATGCTATGAAAACTATTACCATTTGTAGTAATTACAAATTATTTGAATGTATGTAATTCTTTGTATTACACCCCCTGGCATATGTTAATTTTGCTCTGGTTGTATACACGTTCTGTATACTGTTTCTCAATAAAGTTTAATAATAATTTTTTTAAAAAGGATCAAAGAGCGCTGTGGATCATTCTGCGCATGCTCAGATCATACATAATGAAATGAAATTCATTTTTAAATACTTTGCTATTTAACAAAGGTGACTTCCCTCTAACAAAGGTGAATTTTGCAACACCTGGTGGCGATTCACCGTTATCAACCCTCAAGCTCGTGAATTGGCTCTCTCGCTTTTACGTTTATGATCGATTGCTACTGTTGTCTATCGCATATGTATTATTTGGAACCCAGCATACCTGTAAAAACAGAGAAACAGGAGGTATCAGGAACTACCTGGTGCGCCAGCTCTGCACTACTCTTCTAGCGAGACACCGGTAAGACACCGAGCGCCCTCTGCTGGCGGAACTTATATTGCAGCAAAATAGACACTAACAGTAGTTTTTCCCAAAAGGAAGTGACATGAAGCATAAAAATAAAATGGGGGGCTGTAATTTTCATGTATTCATCTATATCATGGTGCCA